AAATCTTTAAAAAAACAAACAAAAAAACCACAAAAAATAAATAAATAAATAAAATAAAAATAAATTCCAGGTTGACAAAACAATGAACTGCCTAGAAAAGGGGCTACAAACTTTTTCTGTGAAGAGCCAAACTTTTTTTCTGCAAGCCACACATAGGGTCTGTTGTATATTCATCATCTTTTTTTCAAAGTTCTTTGGGGCACCTGGGTGGCTCAGTCGGTTAAAGCATCTGCCTCCAGCTCAGGTCATGGTCCCAGGGTCCTGGGATAGAGCCCCGAATCGGGCTCCCCTTTAGTAGATGGGAGTCTGCTTCTCTCTCTCCCTCTGCCCCTCCCCCTGCTTGTGCATGCTCTCTCTCTCAAATAAATAAAGTCTTAAAAAAAATTCTTCAAAAATGTAAAAACCTGGGGCACCTGAGTGGCTCAGTCATTAAGCGTCTGCCTTAAGCTCAGGTCATGATCCCAGGGTCCTGGGATCGAGCCCGATGCTCCCTGCTCAGCGGGAAGCCTGTTTCTCCCTCTCCTACTCCCCCTGTCTGTGTTCCCTCTCTTGCTGTCTCTCTGTCAAATAAATAAATATTTTTTTTAAAAATTGTAAAAACCTTACTCTAAGGTAGTACAAAAAACAGGATATGGGGTAGATCTGCAAGCCATAGTTTGCTGACACTTGTTCCAGATGTTAATATATTTATGAGCTGCAGCAGGAAAAGGTTTCCTAAATGAGGCATAGAACACCAACCATAAAAAAAAAAAAAAAAATAGGGGCGCCTGGGTGGGCTCAGTCGGTTTAGTGTCCAACTACAGATCTCAGCTTAGGTCTTGATCTCAGGGTTGTTAGTAAAAAAAAAAGATGCATTTGCTATGTTAAAAATAAGTTCTAGGGGTGCCTGGCTGGCTTGGCAGGGAAGCATGCAACTCTTGATCTTGGGGTCGTGAGTCTGAGCCCCATGTTGGGTGTAGAGTACTTAAATAAATAAATAAATAATAAAAATAAGAAATTCTTAATAAAATAAAGCTTTTTAAAGACATCAGTGAGAGTCAAAATGTAAGCCAAACTGAGTGAGAGAATGGCATGTATCCAGATTATATAAGGAACTCCTACAAATCAATAAGAAAAAGGTAACAGAAAATTAACAGTAACTTTGAATAGGCACTTCCCAAAAGAGATTACTGAACCATCTACTAAATACATAAAAAGGTGCTCAATCTCACTGATAACAAGGATATGACAAAATAAAACCACAAAAGGCCAGCAAGACAAACATGGCATAATGGCTAAAACTAACATGACAATCAATACAAATGTGTTGGTGAAGACCGGGAACAATGTGACTTCTAGTACACTGTTGGTGGAGTTTAATGCTGAACAACAGGCTGGGCATTACCTAGTCAGCTTGAACATACACATACCCAGAGACTCCATAATCCTCCTCTGGATAGGACTCAACCAAAATGCCCTCCCACCAACACAGGAACGTCAGGGTGGCACTGTTCATGAAATTCTGTGTCAGATTTAACAGAGCACGCCCGAGGCTGCTATCTTTAGAAAGGTCTGCTTACAAGGGTGGCCTTTGGCATGTGGGATCCTGGATCTCGGGATTATCATTTGCTGACTCATCAGACTCGCTGTGCCTAAACCATTTGCAAAAATATGGTCTATACCAAACACCTGCTTTACTTCTGGAAGTCAGGAGTTTAGGCCAGGCAGAGGGTGTTTGGGGCACTGAATCTCTAACACGCTTCCCTAGTAGGTAACATTCTGCATGCCGTGCACTGTGACAATTCCTTACTGGGAACTTAAGTACACTGCATGTAACTCTACTGGGAGAGGACTCAGGCTTGCTCCTGGTGTCGTCCATACTTCACCCCATGTGCTTCTCCCCTTGCTGATTCTGCTTTGTAGCCTCTTAACATAACAGTCACAACCATGAGTATGAGTATATGTTAATTCCTATAAGCTGTCCTAGTGAATCAATGAACCTTGGGACCCGACACACAGGCCAAAACTACTGAAAATAAAAATGTCTGTCAACAGTAAAATCATAAAAACAAAACAAAAATCACACAGTAAAATCAGGACATGTTCACATAAGGAAATACTACTATAATGATGACACACAAAATTGATGAATTTTACATACATGTTAAATGAAAGAAGCCAGATAAAGAGTAAATACTATGTAATTCCAACATATGATCAAGTTAATGCCAGATAAATTTGTGATTTAAATATTTAAAAGAAATATAAAACTACAAGAAATTATGAAAGTATCTACTTTTTTTTTCCTGAAGATTTTATTTATTTATTTGACAGACAGAGAGAGAGACAGCGAGAGAGACAGAGAGGGAACACAAGCAGGGTGAGTGGGAGAGGGAGAAGCAGGCTTCCCAAGGAGCAGGGAGCCCGATGTGGGGCTCAATCCCAGGACCCTGGGATCATGACCTGAGCTGAAGGCAGACGCTTAACGACTGAGCCACCCAGGCGCCCCTCAAAGTATCC